AGTTCATTTTTTGGAACTGTGAACTTAGTTCAAAATTTTGAATTATGAACTATGAACTGAACTAGTTCATTTTTTGGAACTGTGAACTTAGTTCAAAATTTTGAATTATGAACTATGAACTGAACTAGTTCATTTTAAAATGAGTGAACTGAACTTTGAACTAGTTCACGTAGAAAGAGAACTTTCCCAACACTGAACCCAGGCGAAGATATATGGCTGGAGACCTCCCATTAACATATTTTTTAGTTGCTGCTGGTATGTTGTTTCATCTCCATCAGTGTATGGTATGCCGCTGTGGAAACTGTATTCTTTTTCAAAACGTATTTTGAACTCATCTACATCTTCTATTTTTTTTCTTTATATTTTTGCTTTATAAATGTCCACAATTTCCACGGCCTGAAAACTGTGATTGTTGGAGGCTGCTGATCTCCTACATTAGAATTTGCGACCTGCTGCAAATGCGACCTTATATGGTGGTGGTCTATCTTTTTCAGTCGCTACCATAGGTTGTGTGACTAAAGTAGTTTTCTGGCGGGTTCTTTTCGTTTGTTTTTGTTTTGAAACTAATATTGTTGGAGACCAAGCAGGCGCAGGAGGAAGGCTGTCAGCTGGAGTCAGCGCTACAGTCGCTGCTCCAATGACCGCCCCTCCGCAGGCTGTCTCCCTCTAAACGGTGTTTAAAAACAGAAACACAACATTAAAAGACGGACAAACATAAAATTAGATCTATTTTTTTTTTTCATAATAACCTCGTATCTACTTTGCGTATGTATTATACCAACACCTCGCTATTTGGAGCTAATTTATTTATTTATCCATTTATTTATATATCTATTTTTTGCACTAGTGCTTCTTTCTAGCCAGCACACAAAGATCTCCATAGATCTACCTTCCACGCACCATCTATCTCATTCCCTCTAGGATCTTCCCTTTTACTCTTTCCTGAACCCATCCTATTATTTTTTTTTCTTTTTCTTTTTGCCTTTTTTTGTGTTTATCTACCTTAAAGGACTTTTTCACCTTCTTTAACTTTAACACCTGCAAACTTTAATCACCCATCTACCTTTGCAGGGGAAATTTATACCACCTGTCTACCTTTGCGGGGGACTTTATACCACCTGTCTACCTTTGCAGGGGAGTCTATATCACCTGTCTACCTTTGCAGGGGACTCTATACCACCTGTCTACCTTTGCAGGAGACTTAATACCACCTGTCTACCTTTGCAGGAGACTCTATACCACCTGTCTACCTTTGCCTGGGACTTTATACCGTCCGTCTTAGCATCTACTTGGTTTGGTTGGTCTTCTCTCGGTCGGATCCCGTCAATCCCTTGCTGGCGAAAGGAGGTGACCTATGACGTTGGCCCAGCTACAAAATTACCCCCTGGGACTTTCCCTTAAGGTCCTTGCTTCTGACCACCATTGGTTTTCAGCGTGTTGCTCCTATCGTCAGCAAGTTGAAATGTTGGGATCCGGGTCACGGCACCAGGCTGATAGGGTTAATAATCATAACCACTTATTGTCCTAGAAATGAAAACCAAACCAAGCAAATATTCTTTTCTTTTCAGCAGAAAAGAGATTGGACAAACCAAGGATGAGACCCCTAAAAAAAGTCTGTACTCAACTCTGCCCAAACTTCTATTCTCTGCTGCTTTTATTATTTGACGTCAAAGGAATTACAGGAGTGGTCAAACGTTACCAGGAGGGGTCTGATGTTATCAGGAGGGGTCAGAAGTTATCAGTCACCTACGGCTGCATAGCTGGATAATACCAGGCCCTGAGAGAAATATTTGCTCACCTCAATTAGAGCAACACTTAACATTCCCGATACCTGTAACTTGAAATAAAATGATAACATATACATTTTCTAACAACTTATTTATTACTTATTTTTTTAAGTATTTATTTATGTGCATGTTATAATATTTTTATCTGGTTTATTCTCGCTTTTTATTTTTTACCCTATTTATTTCTTCCATGCTATTTATTTCTGCCTTTGGTTTTTACATTTCTTTCTGCGTTTCTGCCTCATACTGCAAATGAGGAGCGGTGTGTCTTAGAGGGTCACCTTCTGCCCATTGGTTGGTTAGCAGACACCGGCCACAGTCACAAAGATGGCAACATAAGATGAAGCTGTCAGTGAGCTGAGACATTTAGCAATGCTAACGTTAGAAGTATTGACTTTATTATTTTTCGTTTCGACACTCTGACAGACCATGTGTTTCAGTTAGCGGCACACACTGACACAGATTTCAACAATGTAGTCTATCAGAATCTGGAGGAAGCGGCTCATCTTAACTTGGTCGCTAACGACCGCGGTGAAGTTGGTTTGAAGTTGGATGTTGGATATTCAAGCTCCGCAGAGTGAGCGGGATCTAGCTAACGGTTGATCCGACTGAGGGACTCCACTGTCGACCAGCCTCTCTCAGCTGCTCCCTCCTCCCAAACGCGGTGGTGCAGTTAGGGACCGTCAACAAACCAAACACTTTTGAGAAACACAAATCAATAAATTCCTTATCTTATGACCAGCTAAGCAAATAAATAACATATGTAATGCACACTTGCTTTTATGCAATTTTAAGCTATTTTCAATTTTTAGATAGATATTATTTAGAAATATATATTTAAAGACAAAAGTTGGGACTTTTCTTCAATAGCTTCCAGGTCATGTGACCTACTGACTCAAATTCTTTTTTAAATTGTTTTACTACATTAGCCTGATGAGGCACAGCCTTAATGCTAAAAGAAAGTGTAGTTTTATTGACAAATAACTATACTTAAGTATTTGTTCTTCACAATGTTGAACTAAGTGGGCAGTTCCAGAAAAGTCCCAACTTTTGTCTTTAAAAAATATCTTAAAAATTGAAAATAGCTTAAATTCACATAAAAACAAGTGTGCCTTACACATGTTATCTATTGACAAGATTCTATATTAGTTTGGTCTTAGCTGCTCATAAGATGAGGAATTTATTGATTTTTGTTTCTCAAGAAAAAAAAAATGTTAGCACTGTAAATTTACAGTCATTACTTTACTATTTACTATTATTTACTATATTTACTATTTTTCAAGGCTGCACTTTTAAAAGATGAAATGTCCAGTGAACTGTTTCCAAACGAAATTTCTTTTTGTTTTACACTTGTGTAAACAAAATGACAAACAAAATCTGTCTAAAGTCTAAAAGTCTAACGTCTAAGAGAGCTTGGTTCAAAGGTTTTTTGATGGTCCCTAAATACACCACCGCGTGTGGGAGGAGTAGTTGCAATTCATCAGCAAGTATTCTTCCATTGGAAATTAATGAACAAACATAACTTCACTCCAAACAACATTACAATATGGAACAACAGATATGTTGTGAAGTCAGTTTTCGAAAGAGTGGTATGTTAAAGGGATCTGGTCTGCCCGGCGTACACTGTACGATTTTCGGGGCGATTTTCCAGTCGTGCGAGAATCGATCGGCTGATCATGATCGACCATACTTTCAGCCTGATCTTGCGTCGTGAGTCGTGTAGTGTACAGTGGGTTATGAGCGCCAATCAGCCTCTCACAATCACATCCTGATCAACAATCGTAAGTTCAAACATATTTGTTTTTCTCCCGACCGTCGTGGGCAAATCGCTCAGTGTCCATGCGCAAAGCAGGATTTTTCTTTTTAATCTTCCTCTCAGATGTAAACACAGCAGCAAGGCAGGGATGCATTGAGTGAAAGCAGTTCTGTCTGCAGACACTGATGGACCGGGAGAGAAAAGGACAGAACTGGAGAACTAAGATCTGAGCAAGGAAACTTCTCAGTGTCTCAATACTGATTATTATCATTTGGCTCCATTCATAACAACATCTCAGCTTCACTGACTGAGAAGTGATTAACAAGTGATGCTGTTCTGACCCGGAATGAGATTAAAACATTGGATTCTGTTATATTTAGCAACAAGTGATAAAAAGAAGTGAATGAAACAAAAAGCATCACATTGGAACCGCATTTAGCTCCAAAGACTGAGTTGTTGTTGCAGCAGGTCTGGAGGAAGAGGAGAACTTTGTGGAGGTTATGTTCTGATCTGAGCAGAGAGAAATAAAACCTGTTCATCAGGGAGTTTTCTTGCAGCTATATTTTGAATTCAGGACTTTGGAATGAAATATGTCAGTTATGGGTGAAAAGGCATGTTGAACCGGTTTTAGCTCCGCCCCTTTACCAGACACCTAAACTAAAGCAGGAAGCAGTTTGTGATTGTTGCTTCCTGCAGAGAGACTCCCAGACGATCAGATTCACCTTCAGACCAAACTAGCAGCTTCCTCTGAGTGAGTCCAGCTGCAGGAGAAAAAAGTGGAAACCTCCAACACTGCTGCTTCAAGCTGCTCACACTCCACACACTGAAGGTGAGTTGGACCAAGAACACCACTCAGAGTCACTTTGAGGGAAGTTAGTAGAGGAGGGAGGGGAGCCATGACTGACTGGACCTTCTGTGTTTTCAGCTTCACTCAGAGACTAAATGGCTTCCAGGTTAGAGGAGGATCTCTGCTGTCCGGTCTGTCAGGACATCTTTAAGGATCCAGTTGTTCTGTCATGTAGCCACAGCTTTTGTAAGGAGTGTCTGAAGAACTGCTGGACAGTAGGAGATGAACGACCATGTCCTTTTTGCAGGAAGCAGTCAAGCACAGATGATCCTCCCTGTAATCGGGCTCTGAAGAACCTGTGTGAGACCTTCTTACAGCAGAGAGAGCAGAGAGCTTCAGAGGATCTCTGCAGTCTGCACTCTGAGAAACTCAGACTCTTCTGTCTGGACCATCAGCAGCCAGTGTGTGTCGTCTGCAGAGATTCAGAAAAACACGCCGAGCACAGATTCAGACCAATCGATGAAGCTGCTCAGCAACACAAGAAGAAACTTCAGGAAACTCTGGAACCTTTGAAGAAGAAGCTGGAGGTCAGGAAGAAAGTTCAGGAAGAGTTTGATCTGACAG